AATAGGCCAAATGGACAACAGAAACCAGGCAAGGTGAGTATATTTTCTTAATTTTATTCAAAAAAAGTAACATTTTATTTCATTGCGCGATTTTATCCTTCGTTATTTTAAATTCCATACAATGCCTTGTAGAGCGCTCAAATTCTCAACGGCCCAATGTGTAACAAAACACCGCGCACTTAGGGCAGTCACGTCTCACTCGATAGGCGTAAATTCAATCTCGTTCCCAGAGTCTTCGTTCCCCTTGACCAGCGGTCGGAAAACGAGAGCTCTGGGAGTAACCATTTCAGGCATGCGCCATAGATGCAGACTGCACAATGAAACCGGATGGGCAGAATCGCCAGAATTCGGTTATTTCAAAATGGTTGCTACCACAGCTCTCGTTTTCCGACCTCTGGTCAAGGGGAACGAAGACTCTGGGGACGAGATTGGCGTAAGTCATTAATATTTGATCGATTCCTCAAATCGTGAGTTTGAGACGCCTCCGTTCTAACCACAAAATACTGAAAAGTCGTAGTTCTTACCTCTTGCCTGTTTCAGTAACAACATGAGATAGATTTCGTAGATACTCGGGGGAAGGTACAAACACTCTATCCGAAGAATTCACCCAGACATTGAACGGTTTTAACAGCTGGTTTATAAATCCTAACCATGTGAACTGAAAGGAAACCCTGCGTAAATTGCTAAGAAATTGCATATGAAAGTGAACCTTCCTAGAATAGCTTATACTTTAGATTCTAGACTAAAGGCACGAGGACTTTTTGCGCAATTATTGCTTTCTGAACTGAAACTTGAAAGATCTTGACAAATAATAAAACCACAACTGGTAACTATTTTAACTCCGTGCAAAATTAGGGCTTTCATTTGCTCATTGGTACATTGTTTTTAATCTCTTAATCGACTCTTAAGAAGGAAGCCAAACCTACCCCGAATCCTGGAGCCCTGCGTTCAAGCTCTGTTATGTTCATGTTCAGGTGGAAATTATTGAGTATCACACCTCGTGGCGGAATGATCTGCAACAACAACAACAACAAAAACCAAAACAACTGACACTGATGAAGTACTCCGTTTAGAAAAATATGACTTAAAAATATTAAGAACTTTTTGGGTGGAGAGAGTTCATAATTTGTGCGTATGATTGTTGCTATATCTCACGGGTTAAATTTTCGTGTTGAATTTCAAAATCTCTCAGGTCAATTTTTTAACTACTACCTTTGGATGGGATTTTGGGCCATTTCTGTACGCTTTTTGATTGAAGCATTTCTCCGGCTCTCATTTCTTCTCCTGAGTGGAGCGAAGGTCACGCAAAGTTAACGATTACAAGACCTCAACAACGCAAGAACTTCACCCAAGGATCAAAACTGGCCGCCATCACCGTGCGCCAAGCTTTTAAACGCTGTTGTTCTATTTGAATCTACACGTACGACAGCTTAACAATATTTTATACAATATTTACAGTATTTTTTTACGTACCTTTGCAATCTTTCCTTCCAGCTCCAAAACCTTTGCCATTTGGTCTTTCGTGTCACTTCCTCCTCCGAGCAGCCTTCCTACTTTGGTCATGTATTTCAAATAAGCCAACCGCGTCTGAAATAGAATGAATGCAAGGGCTTCCGGGAATCATAACTGTTTTTGGATTTATGAGTATGCCATAAATTCTAAGTTTCTTACTTACTGTGCATGGCAACCAAACAAACTTGTTGGATTAACCTAACCATACTGTTAAGAGTCTACCGATGCTGCTATCTTAAAAGGCTTTTAATTCACAAAAAAGAACTCCTGTACACCTTGCGTTCCAATGGTCTGTCTCAGTCCAACGCCCTCTGTGCTCCTTGGTTTTCTTCAGTGTTAATTTGTAAATTGATTGTTTTGTAACCAGGTTTTAAATAACCATATTTCGGTTAGCCCACAAGACACACGCCTAATCTTTCTGGGCGGTGAGCCACAAGCACCCGCGATTTTTTTTCGAATTTTTCTGTAAACATTCAGATAACTTCTGGCACAATACCTTGTTATCAGGGCTCAAGTACTTCGCAGGAATTAGACTCAAGGATGGAGGTGTTATCTGCAAAATAACAAAAGAGATAGAGCACATAAATCAGTCAAAAAATGGAGCTAAAAGGGAATTTAAGTAACCAAAGCACGAGGGAGAGGAAGCACTATTTTATCAAATATCTCTCGCACTAAATTATCAACATGCATTCAGTATATATTGGTATTTCGGTATGAAACTTGTAAAATATATCTTTTAAGGCCATGTGGAAACATTCACCCTGATGTTTGTCGTTCTTTATAAACCAGACTAATATCTTATCATCTTCACCATTATTATTATTATTATTATTATTATTATTGCAGTTTTGCATATAACGTTTAAAGCAGGAAGGTGGGCTTAAATTCAGTTCACACGTCTCATTTCTTAGACCGATTTTACTCATTTGAAAAAGAAAACGTTACTTTACACCACAGTCGTATCCTGTGTATTCCAAACACACTTCTGGGGGGTACCCCGTTATATGGGCTATATAGGTCTGTGCGGCCCCAAAGGATAGGGTTTTTCAGCCGTTTTAGCCATAAATAGGATATCGATTTTGGCCATTTTGGTTATAAATAGGGTATGGTTTTAGCACTCTAGTCTTGAATTGGATATGTTTCTTAGAAGAAGCTACTTTTTCATCGTTATCAATAAGACCGTCAACAAAAGCCCGTCATAACTTATGTTTAGGCCAATTGTGTGAGCCGCAACGGTCATAAATAGGGTCGAAAAATTTTGGTCATAAATAGGGTAAGGGATTTGGGAAGTGGGCCGCACTTCCCCGCCCAACTTTTCTGGAAAGTTTAGGAATATCCTTCAGCAAAAGAGTTTTAATGACTCTCTGATCCTTGATTGTTTCTTATTACATGTGGAATTAAACTCCGCAAAATATGTTAATAGTCGTTTTTCATTAACTGGGATAAGTTTACAAATTATAGCTAAAAACAGCAGATAAATGTACCTTAAGAACGTGTTGTGAAGAGTTGAAAGGATTAACATCAACGTTTAGCACAAACAGAGGTGACATGTATGAAAACTCCATTTGGAATGCCATTAAAACCTCAGGAAGACTCCATGTTGACTCCTTCCATGAAGTATTTCCCAGTGGCCACGATCCGTATTGAGTAATAAGACGTTTTAACTCAGGGAGAGCAGTGTTGTCATTCTGGTCTTCCGCCATGCAAGATTTGAAATAGTCTTTAGTTTTCCTTACAGCGTGTCCGCTTGGAAAGTCGCCATCTTCTAACAAGAGTAATAATAGTTTCTTGTTGTTTTCGTCACCTAGCTTACGATAAGCTGCGAACCAATTTTCGGATGATGGAATTGGATTGTTCTTGATCCAACCGCCGCAGGAGTATTGAAAGAAGTCCTTGCACGGATCAACAGACTCGTTCAGGTTCTGCTTTATTGCACCTGCAACCTCCAAACATGAGCTTGAACTGCAATGGTCGTTTGGTTGCCTGACATGGGTCAAGATTAGGACGATAGCGAGCGCAATGCAAACAAACAGCAAAAGTGCGCAGATGAAAACCAGTCCAAAACGCCCTTTCCAGTTATCCTTTGTAAACGAGGTCGGGCTACTCCAGGGCTTGACACCTAAGGTCTGTGTGCTACCTGCATAACCTAGGTTTGTATCACCCCGGGTACGATAAGAATCCATATTAACTCGTCTTCAGTCCAATGCAATGATTTACTTTAATTTGCAGTTGCCACTTCTGATCACTGATGCATCGCGACAAACATAGACCCTATTCATAAATGGCTGCCAATTATATATTAAAAATTTTTAAATCTCAAACGAGTTTAGTTAGGTTAATTTAAATGCACACAAAATAATTTTCAATTGGCAGCCATTTATGATTAGGGTCTATTGTATGAGTTAATACTAGTAATATATGGTAACAGTCCTTATATACATCGGTCATGCTTTTCACGCATGCTCATTAAACAGTTGTCTTGTGTCAGCCATAAAGGGTCGTGCACGTGTGTTTTCCTTCCCCAAAAACATAACTATTAGTTGGCCTGGTGATTTCGCAATCGTCATGAGCCGATGTCAGATTTTGACAAGAGATAGGCCTGTTCTCTTTGTATCGGAAGTTGTAATTAAATCACATTTCGGTTAATTTGTTTGCACGGTTGTTCTTACCAATGTAACCAATAAGATATCTGTAGTTTGCTCTGGAAGTAGCTTATCGCATTTGAAACTGACTCTTGTCGACTGTGTCTCTTGTCTTGTCGAGTGTTTGCTTTTTATGGAACAAAAACCCAGGAAAAGTAAAATTAAAATTAGTGAACGATGAGGCATTCATCCATATCTTGAGGACTTAAGATGCTAGTTAATTTTAAGGATTAACGTTTGTTATGATGAAGCCTTGCAAGTTAATCGTAGTGTTGCATGACTTAGTAGAAATTAAACAATTAAATACTTGTTAGTAAAATTATTACCCAATGGAAATTTCAAAAGTCATAAATACATTGAGGCAGGATGAATTCTAAACTCCTCTCATTAACTCATTTGCTGCAGGGGACGGTAGGCTCATTAGAAGAATGCGGTTTTCAACGAAAACGCAGTAGTGTGGAGGAGAGGCTTACGACGTTTTCACACAATACACAAGAAATCTGAGTTATTGTCATTGTTAAGCTCAGTTTCAGTTAGATACGCTGTTGTCATTTGCGGTTTCTTTGAAGTGCCTTAACAAATCTCTACCCTTGAAATTACACTGAAATCCGCCCTACGGCCTCCCTGCTAATACGGCCAGCTCGTTATTACGGCCACTATATTCTGGCTCGAGCAGAAGTTCAGTCAGTCATTTTCTTGTTCAAATAACCCTTTTAGTACAGCCACTCCGTTTCTACGGCCCATTAGTAGTGTGGCTCATTGGTGACCGGATTGAGGGTTCCACTGTATGTGCAAACAGCCACAAAGCCATTGCCTCCCGTGATATAAACAGTAATTTGCAGAACTTTCTCTCTTGTGATCTACCTTCCTGTCAACATTTTTCAAATCTTACGAGCATTAAATCGCCCTTTTCAGGTCATCAAGCTTTCAGGTTTCCTTGCAGCTGGGACCATATGTACTGCATTGTGCAAAAAAGTGCTTGCATTCAGATAAGAGTCAAATTCCCTTCAACAGCGATATATTGCTGAAACAAGACAGAGGGGAAAAAAATTAAAACGTTCTACCCAAGTTCAAACAGGGTTCATTTCTTAAAGATGTAAAAATCCGATTCAAGCTTAACAACAGAAAAAAAAATTCTATTAAACAAGTTTATCGATTAAGAAACACCCATAAAAAGGAAAAGAAATCACCTCAGAACAAAAAGTAAGAGGTTATTAAACTTCCTGTACAGAAAAATTGAACAGAGAAAATGAACGCCACTAGGATTAACATGACATCAATGGATCGTGTGTTTACTGATTTGCTTAAAAATGAACACTCATTCCGTTGAACTTGTATTGACAAGGTTAAATTATTATATTGCAAGGTATTAGAGTCAAAATATTTACATTTAAAGTAATCGTGTCAAATCTGTCAATTTTTTATGAACGAAATATCAATCAAATCAACTTGAACTCTCTCGGCACTGGTTAACAATGAAACTTATAGAAGTAAATGAAACATGACACAAGCCTTGAAGGGATCATGCAATTATTATTAAAATTGGTTTTGGTATAAGCAGGATATGGAATTTTCTTTGCTAGACTTGACTAGTAATTCAAATTATCGTGCGCGTTCATGTGCACGTTTTGTTAACTTGGACAACTAAGGCCAATCGTTTTCATTTTTTCCCCAGTGTCTAGTTCAAAGAACACGTCGGTGTTGAAGGCTGGTTGTAGCGAAAACGAAGAAACCCGAAAGCAAAGACCTAAGATCTAAGACCCGAAAACGAAGACCCGAAAACGAAGTCGGAAAACCCGTGTTTTGGTCGCAATTCGACAGAATCAGCACTACAATTTGTGAACTTAGAAAACCGCTTAGTCCTTTAAAACCGCAACACCGCAGGTTATAATTAAAATAAAAATTTCCGCAAAACCGCATCACCGCAAACCCTTACGTCCCCTTTATCTCAGTGTAATATCTCTTAATTAAGCAATAGACCGCTCTTTCTATGGGTTTACAATCGTTTAATTGAATTCCACGCGCTAGAAATGCGGCGTATGAACCGAGCATAGACTACGTTATGTTGCGTCGTATTTAATGACCTTTTATGGCTCTGTTAATTCCACGCCCCTCTATCATCCACCCCAGGGAATATGCCAAGCATGACAACAAAGTTCCTTCCCCTAGGGTGAGGTATTTGGAATAGCAGGTCAACCCGTGGATGGCGCATTGTTGTTGCTCATTTCAAATTACCTAATCACCTTTAATGTAAAACGTACCAAAGATTGAGTTGATAAACCTTATTGGAGTCGTGCAATTTTCAAGTCAACTCGATCTCCACTCTCTCTTCTCCCCATCATGTGCAGAACTTTGGAGTTGTCGCATTATTTTTTAAGTTCTGTTATTTTCCGAGGGCACAATACTTCCAAAAACCATGGTTACAGTTTATGAACAATTATTGCCCCCATCTAAAGGCAGATATCTAAAGGCAAAAGAGGATTTTGACCTTGCCTGATGGATTGGGCATTTGCAATTCAAGCCTGATTTTTCTTCTGGTTCCATTACTTTAAAGCTACATGTACTTTAACTACACCAGTGCTTGGTTGGCTTTTCCAGCTAAGTGTTGCAGACTGAGGGTCTGACAGTCTGACGATCGTTAAGAAAGTCACTCGAGGAATAGCCGAGAATTCTCCGAGATAAAGCTTATCCATCGCCTGAACGCAAGGTTTACTATATATCAGTTAATACAGTCGTCGGTTGGTGCGACTGGGTGACTAGTAAAGAGACGTTTTTAGCGGCGACAGCTAGGTGAAACAAGCTAGGTGAGGACGACTAGTTCGCGAGACATTCAATTTAGCATCCAGATCTCTCTTGGTAACGGATCTATCGTTAACTATCCGACCAAAGGGTGTCTGAAGGGCGAGGATGAGCGATGTGCAAGGCTCTAGTTTGAGTCACGAGTCCTTTCGAGGGCATGGGGGGGCATGGGGACATAGGTTCCTATCCATCCGCTGCCACCACGAGAGTGTTAAAGAGACGAGAACGCCACAACGAAGATACTTTAGCAGCTTGAATACCGCTTAGCGTTTAAAAATCGGGATGCTCGCCAACAACACGAGGGGCGGAAAACGCGCGTATATACTCGCAACATAACGCGGCGGGCACTGTCTGATTGCTCAGTTACAGGTCAGTTGTCGTGAGGAATGAACATTCGATGCATGATTGATCGGTCGATACAATTTGCTTGAAGATGCCGTTGTCACTAATGTATTGTCACAATGTTCTACTTCAACTTTGCAGGGAACAGATGTTACATTTGTTCTTCTTTATTTCATAAAAAAACAAACATCTCAAATGCATACATGCACATGGCAAACTATATAACGGCCCTCGGGCCAAACGTCAAGCTTCTCATTATGAGTTAAGGACCGTCTCATTGATTCAATTTTGTCTGTTGGGTCACATGTATTTGATGACAATTAAGTCAGCTCAGTGAATTCTCGAAGATGTTACACTCTGACGACAATTTCAGATGTTGCACCTTTGCGTACTGTGTGCAGTTAAATCTTCAGTTATGTAGAATAGTCGAGCCTTCACTTTCTAGACAGGAAGAAAACCTTACCAATTAGTTCTTTTCCTCGAAAAAAAATTGATTGATACCAGATGAGCCATAAAGGACCTATTACACGAGTGATTTTCGTCCAGTTTACTTTGGCCATTTCCAGAGATGTTTGATGTTTAGCCCAAGACACGAAGACAACGATTCGAAAGTGTAAATTTCTACAATTTTTGCTGAAGCCTATGTTACAAAATGCGATTTTGGATATTTTACTCATAGCTTTCTCAATTTTTGATATATTTTGATTCGTTGCATGAATAACTGGAAAATTATTTTGCCAGGTGGTTAAACGTGGTTATTTTCCGAACCAGTCGGTTTAACTCACGCATTTTCTGATACTCAAAAAGTTTCCTGTATATAGTGGCACTGTCTGCTAGTTCTAACATCAGGTAATACTCATAAAACAGTTCATTGCCTTCATTAACTCTCACTCATGTTTTGCGACGAGTTTTACCCGATCAAAATAGATTCTAACTAAATCGCAGAGTTATTAGCTAATTTATAGTATTATAACTATTACCGTCTCTACTATCATTAGCCATCTTTACTTCCTAAAGACGTTTTGTAGTTTATCAAGGATTATTCTACAAAATCTACTGATTTTTTGTAAAACGATTTATAACCTCCATCACAATAAGTTGGGACACCATGTTCCCTGCAAGTCAGCAGAGAATACTACGCACCCAAATGCATATGTGTGTTTCACTCTGGCTTCTCCTGTCCATTGCGTCTCATTGTTGAATGAAACACGTTCTGTTTGTCCCAAACCGATCAAAGAAAAGCAAGGACGAGAAAGGGTCCCAACACTGTGACCTAGATTAGCGTTCATGAAATCAGTCTACGTTTGTTCGCAGTGCCTAAGAAATACTAAGAAATCGGAATTTTTCGGACAGAACCATTTTTTTTCAACAAACAATTGACGTAATTTTCTTTTCTGTCAGAGAAAAGTAATTGAAAAATCTGTAATTACAATTAGCTTAGAAGTATTTTCAAAAGCCTCATATGACAAGCTTGAGTGATGCCGTTGGGCTGTGGACAGTCTTGCTTCACCACACTTTACACTTCTTCTCGGGATTCATCCCTTGACCCGCGGGACACTTGAAGGCCTCTGAAAACTCCTTCATATTTGATAGCGGGCCAATCACCCTGAATAAGAATAACAGTCAGTGTTAAACAGTGACATGATACTTCCTTGCTTCGTTCTTTTTCAGTAAATAACCGGGCGTATAAACTCTGTTACTGTCGTCTCCGTCTGGATTTCAAAATTGTTTTATTCCTCGTAAACGGACGAAGCCAGCGCAAAAGACCCGAACAGGGTCCGAAATTAACTTTTTTAGGCAGGCGCCAACTGGCGACTGAATTTTTTTTTTTCAGTCGCCATATGGAAAAATTTGGTCGCCAAAAAGTCTCAATAAAATTTTCCTTCGGAGCGAAACACAAACCAAAATTTTTGGTCGCCAGATGGAAAATTCTGCTCGCCAATTTTTCTTTTAAGAATCGGAACGAGGAGAACGCATTTGGCGCCGCAATGATGGCGATTTTTCCGCTAACGATAAGATTAAATACAAACACGCTGATTATTTATACACCTACCACTGAAAACCCACGACGAACGAATCGAATGCCGGCCACGCAGTTTCGTGCGACTGCCAATGTTTCAAGTCAATTTTATATCTTCTCTTGTCTCTACCTTTTGGAGAAGAAACGTACCCGACTGAAAACTGCCGTTTGGTTCTTTGCTCTATGTGCAAAACGATCTTTCCTTTCGCGTTCNGCGATTTTTCCATTACGATAAGATTAAATACAAACACGCTGATTATTTATACACCTACCACTGAAAACCCATGACGAACGAATCGAATGCCAGCCATATGCGACTGCCAAATGTTTTGAGTCAATACTATACCTTCTCTTGTCTGTACCTTTTGGAGAAGAAACGTACCCGACTGAAAACTGCCGTTTGGTTCTTTGCTCTATGTGCAAAACGATCTTTCCTTTCGCATTCTGTTAAGACGATCGAGGGATCGTCATGTTGAATATCGAAATCTTCCACTAATTTCTTTGTGGATGTTGCGTCTCCACTGTGTAATAAATTATGGAAAGAGTTCAGGACATCTTTGGACACCACATCACCTGAATAAATATTCATGGCGAAAGAATGCATGTGGTCTTCTGCGCCCGCAATACGTATATTATGGGAAACCACTGGAAAAACATGGCAGCGAAGCTTTGCACTGATTGTAGCCGTGAAACGTTGTGGTAGAGTTATAATAACAGGAAAGTCGGTTTTGTACTTCAAAAGCAGCAGAAAGGTAAAAAGTAAGTGACCAATTGGCGGGCGGCTTTGAATTTTATTTTAATCAATTTGGCTGAAAATCTAACTTTGTGTAATTATCATGGCTTGAAATAGTTAATCACCCGCTGGCGACCAGCTGTGAAATTCTGGTCGCCAGTGCAAAATTTTTAGTTGCATTGGCTACCAGGAAAGCGCAATTTCAGACCCTGTTTTCATGCAGAGCTTGGTTTCTGGAAAGTTTCCTCAGTTTGTCAACAAAAGCATGATATTCATGCACTACATTGTCAGGACTTATTCAAAACATCACAGCCCTTCATTAATCTGATTAAAGCACCAGTTGTTTGTAACAAATTTACATGACTGTATTCAGTAATATACATGTATTACTTCCAGCACTTTTATGATATGTGTAAAACATAGTTGTAACGCAAGGCATACAAACAAGTCCTCTTGTTTAATTTTTCTTCTCCTGTTGGTATTCCATTTTTTTAAAGGTTCAGTCAGTGAGTGAGTTCAAGCAGTAATGTCTGGTTTTAAGATGTTAAAAGGTGTTTGTAACAAGACTTGGTGAGTTTTAATTTTGGTCATTCAAGATTCTTATTAGAAAATCTCCACTTTACTGGGGCAGTAAAAAGTAAAGAATTATTTCTTTTCAAGGGTAACTTCCATGTTCAGGTGTAATCATTGTCTATTAGTGTGTAGAAAATGATGAGAGGACCAATCAGATTGCCAGATT